CTTAATTTGAACTGTAATACTGCAACAAGGTGGAGGAATCCACCACGGGGGTAGAGGGCACGGGGAGGGGATGAGGGAATCCCTGAGCCTATAAAACTGTGTCACATAATGCAACATAATTAATAAAAAAAAAGGTTGTATTTGAGCAAAGTTTTGACAGACATTAAGATTAATCAATCATTGAACATTTTCCACTGTGCCATTTCATTTGTACCCACTTCACCATGCAAAACCTGAACTCATTGCTGATAATTTCCATGCTCTATCCCTTACTCACTGCACAAAGTTCAAACAAATAATTTATGCATAATACTCTATTTACAGTTTTACATATAAAATTAAAGAACCTGCTTTTTTTCTGGTGTGTTCACAGATCAGTGCTTTGAAAATGCAACGAAAAGGACAACGATCGATCTAAATCGTTGGAAACTGAATGTTACAGTAGTTGTATTTGTGCAAGACGGTGCTTTGTATTTGGGAGACCTTACTATGATTTAAATGCTTTTATTCTTAACTCAGAGAAAACTTTTACAGAATAGCTTCCTTGCATCCTCTCCTTACAAACTTTAATTGCTTCCTGTGCTCCAAATAGATTGATTTGGATTTCATTAATGTACTCTGTAAGAGCTTTAGTATATAAAAATGAATAATTTTATGAACAATGGCAATTAAAATCTGTTTCATTAATAGCAGTTTTAGTTGATTTAAGGTAGACCATTCTGGTATATTTGGTTACATTTTGCGACTACTGCTTCCTGTTGTATTCCTCTGAATCAAATTTCTTGTTGATCTCCTAGAAATAAACATTAATTCACAAGGAAATGTTTCTCCCATTTCCGGAGTATTATAATAATTCTTAGTGTTTACATGTATGGACTCATGAATAGCAGCTCCTCTCATTTAACAAAAGAAAAATAGTTTCCCAGGGGTAGCTTAGAGTCTATGAGCTGAACACCAAGGGATATTCTGTTCTACGCTTGTTTCTTGAAAGAATTATATTCTCCTCAATAAAAGTCAATAAATAAACACAGATCCTTTGCAGTCATTAGAAGGAAAGTAAGCTGGTGCAGAGGTGAGTGGACTGTGTGGCAGTTCCTGTCTGCAAGTCTCCCTTGTCCCGCTGGGCATGATTCCTTTTCACTTTGGTCAAGCTCAGCAGAGAATATGGCTCCCTTAAACAGTGCCCTACTACTTGCTCTGCTTGCACTACAGAGGTTTTCTGGGGCTCTTACATGGGACTTATCAAAGGTTGTGGAGTAACAAAGAAAATCCAATGCAGAGACTGTTGCCTGTAGGACGTATGACTTGTAAGGCTGGCTGGTTCTCTCAGTTCTCTGAAAATGTAGGGGTGGGTGTCTTATCCAAATCATCCTCTTGCCAATAGAAGTGTAACATACAGAAAACGCTTTCTTTTACTGATGATCACATGCCGTAAGGTCTATGCTGAAAGAGTGAATTTATTCCTTCCTCTCACCTACCACTACCTCTTGTCCTTAAACGTTAATACCCACAAGAATCACTAAAGAGAAGAATGAAATTGAGAATCTGCAGATTCTACTTACAGACAGTTTGATGCAATAGGACTGGGGAGATATTGGAGGATCTCTATTTTAATGGATACCCCGGGAGATTTTAATTCAAGTTTCTAAGTACACACAATCTATAAGAATTTCCTGCAGATTTTCCACATATTTTCTTTCTGCTATTACTGTAAATTGTCTTCAAGGGAAACCAAGGCTTATCTGTGGTGATAAACATGCAGTTTCTGTAGGCTACGCTGAGTATAATGATCCATTCAGAATATAAATCAACACATGTCTATGAGACAGACATGACATAACACAGGTGCCCCTACAAAGGACATGGCACGATATTTGGCTACCCTTTGGAAACAGAGTTACCCATGTCTTCAAAATTATAAAATCTGTGATGCAGTTACTGCCTCTTCCAATATGCTTTCTTGACATCAAGGTGTCTACTATCTCAGGCCAGCATTGCTGTGCAGGCTGGCATCCCACTCAGAGTGCCAGCTCAAGATCCAGGTCTGCTTCCAACCGAGCTCCTTGCTGATGTACCTGGGATGTCCACTGACAATGACCCAAGTACTGGGGCTCCTATCAGCCGCATGTAAGAACCACATGCAGTTTCAGGTTCCTAGCTCTGAACTGGCCCAGCCTTAGCACGTGTGATCATTTGGGGAGTGAATTTCTAGCTGAAATCTCTCTCTCAATCTCTCTCTCTCTCTCTCCGCCTTTCAAATAAAATAGTTTTTTCTAAAAAAAAAAAAATTCATTTCTAGTACTTTTAAAACATAGACCTGTAGTTCTTAAGTGTTAATATTTGGACAGACCAACTACTCCACGTAATTGCCAATGGATTTTAAATTCCACTGACTAGAAAAATATTGAACAATATAGAAATTTTCTAGTCATATAGAAAAATATGACTAGTCAATGATTATGACTTCAGAAGTGCTTTTAAATAACTTCTTTTAATATTGCTCAAAATACTGTTCAGGTTAACTTGAAAATTAGTTAGAAATATTCTTCAGTATATGTGAGGTTTTTTTAATTCAGTTGAAGAAAATGATCAGTATACATACAAATTTACAGACTCAATCCCTATTCTGAGATTCCCAAACAACTACAACCCACAGAACAGAAGTCATAGGACTACATGGGCTTAAAGATCCTCTTAAAAGGTTCTAAAATTCCAATTTTTTTATGATAGGGCTGGAATTATTAATAAGAAACATATTGACACAGGAAAAAAACTTTGATTTATGCTACCTGGTTTCCCTCTTATGCTTTCAAAATGTAAAAAGCTATCTGAAAGGATGAAATTCTAAAATTTAAAACTAGTGTCAGCTGTGAAACGATATCTTTCTAAACAGGAGAAATAAAACTTTTGTTTTCAAAGACTCATTGATTTTTATTTGAAAAACAGAATCTATAAGGAGCAAAGGAGTGAGACAGAGAGAAGAACTTCCATCCGACTGTTCACATCCTCAATGGCCACAATGGCCACAGCTGAGCTGGGATATGACCCAGTGCCCCTGCGGGAGACTTGTGTCACAGGGCAGATTAGCTTGCTGTGCCTTCTCAAGGCCCCAAAAACATAGTTTTGAAATTGGCTTGATCAAGATTATTCAAATCTACCTTAGGCTACACTGGTGTTTGTTTTGATTAGTTTATACCTGAATTTACTAAAAGCATTGGAGTAACAATCTAATCTATATACCACTCTACATTTTGTGGTTAATAGGAACTACAAGTATTAAACTACTCAATATTGTTATCATTACTAGTTAGTCTCGGCTTCATGGAGGCATGCTGGTATATATATGCTTTACCAATCTGAAAACTAAAAATCAACATGCTAGTCAACTTCTTCAAGGAGGCCACTAAACTGTGGTAACATTTTTTTTTAACTTGTAATGCCAAACACACAGATTCAATTGTCTTGTTTTTTACTTTGCACATAAGATAAGAGAGAAGTTTGACTCCCGTACAAGCTCAGGAGCACTGGATGCTCAAATCCAGTGAGTTGCTCAAGTGCTCACTTGAGCAGGTGCACACTGGATGGTCAAACCTACTGAGCTGCTCCCAGGGCCCCCCTGAACAAGTGCACACTGGAGAGACAGCAAAAAAAATTTGCCTTAAATGAGTGAATGAACAATTCAATGTAAAGGAACATGTTTCTTTCAACCAGCTTGGTACTATTTCACAAATAGCTATGTACTCTCCTCAAGCCTCAATATTTATGCTTTCAATATGACAAATAGTATTTATTGATCAGGAAATTCTAGCAAAGATTTCTGAAATGTCTTACTACCAATAAATACCTTACATGCTGAAAGAACTTAGCTAGATAGTTCTCTACACACAAACATAGGTCTCTTGAATTTGCTCTCATTAAAATGGAAGTCAATTTATCAATTCCTTGATCAAAAAATAAAGATGTAACATAGGAGAAAAACAGCATTCAGTTCCAATTCTATTTGGAAGACGTTAAAGTGAGAAAAGAATGATATGCAAACACCTAGTGAAGCAGTTAATAAATATTATAGAAAAAGAGCAAGCAAGATATTAGGAGGAAAATTAGACATGACTAATATTGACTTGATTTGTTTCAAGACTCAGAAAAACGCCCCCAATTCAAGTCATTTTCAGTAGTTCGATTTCATGTGAAATGTGTGAACAAAAATGCCCATTGGTTCACAGACATGACTGACATTTTACTCAAAAATCTTTGCTATCTTAGTAGAATATGTAAGTCTAATTAAATACCCGTGCCCAAATCCCAGAACTCAAAAACATTTTTGTTGAAATAATAACATCATAATTATTACACACCTGTCTACCAACCAAGATTCTTAATTTGGCTCTAGATACAGTTAATATTCAAATGCTCACTGTAACCTTGGTAATCCCAGGATACTCTTTGAATGCACTTAGAATACTTTTTGGCAGTACATGCCTGAAGCCAACACTATTTCTAGTAGTTGCTGATGACTTAATACTAGATGATGTCAATTGAAAACTCGTATCTGCAGCATTTAGATACAAATGAATTTCTCCTATGTTTTCTTTGCCAAAGAAATCGCAGTAAACTCTTCTCCCAAGTATCGATAGCATTTTGTTAGATAGCATTTTTTTTAACAAATAAGAAAGGTTCGTTGCCATGCCATGTTTCAAATTACTCCAGAACATGGGACTTGCCCATGATTCAGCAAGCTGTTGCTGTGGAGCAGGCTGGTGGAAAATATAGGCAACGGAAACGAGTCTGCCCTCCTCATTGTACCCTGCCCCATAGAGCAGCTCCCAGTGGGGCCAACTCATCTTTAGTTGCCAAAAAACTATATGTCAAAAAATGATTTTTGGTGAGCATAGCGGAGGATTAAAGGATGGTAAATTGTTGAAATTTGGCTTTGACAAACCCAAGACTTAAAACGCGGACACCTTTCTCATCACCCTTTACTATGTTGTGACTGTACCACTTTACTTGCCCGTTACAGAGACCGAGATCTTGACACAAGCCAAACGCTGCTCGCCATTGCTCAGGACGCCCTCGATGTAATAGGTCCCAGAGACGAGCCAGTTGGGCAGCACCAGTGCAGGCAATGTGAAAGTACTACTTGGTAATGAATAGGTGCCTTCTGCGATGGGGCAATGGCACGGAATCCCATTTGTTTCTAGTAGCTGTGGGCAGGGCTTCCCAGGGAGAACGAAACTGTCAAGCACATGACAGATGTCATAGGTGCAGCTGCCGACTTGTTGCACACAGGGGATCTTGATCCAGATGCCTGCCACTTTCTTCTCCAAAGTTAATTTCAATTTCTGAGGAGAACTGAGCAATTCGTTGGTCTTGCCCTCAGCACTGATGGTCACATTGCCAGGAATGACAATGGGATCAGGTTCCAGTGTTAGGCTTTTGATGACTGCGGGGTCTTTCCCATCATCACAGTTATCCCAGGAAAAGCTACTGAGGTGGCTGTGGCCGTCATCCACGGAGACTGCCCCTCTAACAAGAAACAAAGTGAGAACGATGAAGAATGCAGTCCGCATCAGAGGGCGCATCGCGAAGGGAGATTCTGAGCAGCGTTAACCACTGTGGGATAGATATTTAAAACAGAGTATTATTTGAGGTGTAGATACAAGGTAAAACTCATTTAAATGTGCCTGCTACTTCTTGAGACCACCCAAGCCCACTAAAATCTTGGCCACACTTTAAATGGATGGTACAAGAATTGCCCAGCCTTTTCCTAACTGGTTGAGAGAACACCAGTGGGGAACGTCTTCCCCATAGGTTTCTGCCCAGACAAGGAGGGCTCAGGGAATACTTAAAGCCCCTTCCCCTCTCCTTTCAAGATGCATCCCATCTTTAGGCTCCCTCCTGGGAGGTGCTTTCTTTTTTCTTCTTCTATGTTTACATGTCACTTTGCAAAGAAAATGCCTCTCTGCAACCCATCACTGGCTTTTTACTTTTATACTAAACTGAGGAAAGAACCCACCCAGCTTCTCAGTTAAAACTTCTCAGGTTGAAAAATTAAATAATATTAGACCTGACTACCTATATTCTAATGTAATTATTTTATCTGCAACAACTAAAGAGAAACCAAAATATGCGATCATTACTAGGCGAGGGTGCGATATAGTTATCTACTAGCCTCAATTTTACCAAATTGCTAGGATGACTTGAAACCACGTAGAAAGTTCCTGGGGATAAACAAGGTGTTTGGAATTCACTAGGTTTGGGGGCCTAAAATTTTGTTACTTGAGGGATTTTTTTTTATTGCAGAGAATAAAGAATACAAACTCACTGACACGGGTTCAAAGTCTTGAAAGATTTAGGAATAAGTGACAGGACCTGCAGCTCAAGTATTCCCAACTCTCCATTAACCACCCTGTACAAAACATGCTATATTATTACCATATGCTTGGTGCTATGCCAGACTGAGGTTGGTTTAGACCTTCTAGAAAATTTGCCCTCTGGAGATTGTGATACATTGTGTGTAAAGCTGGATAGGGTGGATTAATTCAACACAGGCTGTGTGGCCATCTCTAACCTTCTGCCAAGCAGGAGCGGCTAAATGCTCTGTCCCTGCAATCAGACTGCTGGGATTTGAACCATTGCTTTATCCTCATTTGTACAGTCATCAGCAAATGACCTGATCCCGCCATACCTGTGCTTCCTTATCTGTACAACGGGAAAAACAACTGGAAAGATGTGCATTTCTTAGTCTGGTTGGAGTAGTACAGCATGATACAAAACCACATGAAATGTTTGACATAGCATCTCAACACTACCAAAAATGTGCTAATACTCATTAAAAATAAAATCTGTGGACTTCAAGTATAAAGATATTATAAATGTCCCCATTCATTTTCCATGATCATTTCCACATTGGAGTGTTTCTTGGTTGTTGTTATTGATGGAACATGGTTGATAGTATATGCAGTTTTATCTCATTCCAGAATTACTAAAATAAGCTTCACAAGGGCTTCACTAAATTTTTTATCAGTTTTTCCTTTCATCTGTCCAAAGGTGTACAGATATATATTGGAGACGCCATAGACTCTCTTTGCATCTTGCCTTATTTTAAATCTAACAAGCCTAACTATCCAAAATACTTATTACACAGGCAGGAACAGATTTTCTCAAGTGAGTTTATTTCTTCAGGGAGTTTTAAACAGTGTAGAATATATAGGAAAGTTCTTGAATGAATTGATTCAGATTTTTGATTAAAGATAAACTGGCAACTGTTTTCCCAGTGTGAAATCTAGACAATAAGGAACAAAGCCTTGAAAGAACACTTTTCTGTCTCTTGATATTGGAAATCCTGGAATGTATTTTCTTTAAGGTGTGTCTTCCAAAGCTGATGTGGTGATACAGCAGGCAAGGCTGCTACCTGCAACACTAACGTCCAATATGGATGCCAGTTCATGTGTCAGCTCCTCTACTTTTCATTCAGGCACCTGCTAGCGGACTGAGAAAAGTGAAGAAATATGGCCCAAAAGTTTAGGAGTCTGATATCCACTTGGGCAACTAGGATGAAATTCCTGGCTCCTACCTTTGATCTGGTCCAGGGCTGGGCATTGTGGATATCTAAGGAGCAAATTAGCTGGGAGAGACTCACTGTATTTTCTTTCTCTCTCTCTCTCTTTTTTTTTTTTAAATTCTCTCCTGTTCCATCTCCTCTTTTTTCTATAACATTGAGTTTCAAGTAAAAAAAAAACTTAAAAAAAAATTGTCCTGCTCAAAATTTTCTTCGGAGTCATAGAGTTTTTTTTTTATTATTGTTGCTTACATTGTATTATGTAGTACAGTTTTATAGGCGCTGGGGATTCCCCCCACCCCTCCCATACCCCTCCCCCCATGGTGGATTCCTCCACCTTGTTGCATAACCATAGTTCAAGTTCAGTTGAGATTCACTGTTTGCAAACACATGCCTAGCATAAAGTTCAGCGTAAGCTGTTCCACTAAGTTTCAAACCCTTTGCCACAGAATGTGTGGATTCAGGTGCTTATCTTCAGCACAAGAAAGAATTTGCAGATGGGGCACAGGTAAAAGCTGGATCATTTGGCAAAATAAGTCCTACACTCCAGGACTATATGCTTCAAAATGAGTTGCAGCCTTCCAGTTTCTGGAGCTTCCATTTATGTGACCTGGAGTCTCAGAGGTGATATTTGGATGGAACCAGCCAGCAAAGCAGCAGAGATTTCCAGCAACAACTAGGTGACTGCCCATTTTCTCATATTCTAACGAACTTTCAGAAGTGTCACAATGGTGAGTGCACAACAGAAGGAATAGCTTCAGTAATGGAAATTTTGTCAAATGGGCTGCAGGTCATCACAGGGACAATAAGCAGTCATTTTAGGCATTTTCTGCCAACTCAGTTCTGGAGAGTGACTGCCAGGATATTGGTAATTGAGGAGCTTATGAACTAATCCCTGTCTCCTTGCCTATATTATTTTTATGTTCAAAAATTTAATGCTAAACTTGTGTTTTATTCAAGTCTGCTTGTTTCTGAGTAGCTTGAGCCCAAGTATGTCAATATGCACAGCAACAAACAGTCGTTGCAATACTTCTGTCAACAATAGAGTTCATAAAAGATAGTGACATCCCGAGTTTATAACTGAACTGGAAAATTCCTGTTGCTTCAGGTCGTTAGTGTGAAGTTTCTGTTTAGATAAGTTTAGAAGTAGAAAGATACATGTGAACTTGTGTTTTAACTTTAGCAACATATTGGACAAAAACACACACGCAGCTATTAAGTATTTGTAGAAAGTGCAAATGCAAAATAATTCTATTTTGCTACAAAAATAAAATTCATGCCTAATTTTCTTGTAATATGCACTTTCTGAAGATTTTCTGTGTGTGAGAGAGTGTGTGTGAAGCAACAGAGAATGAGAAAATAAGGGAGACTGAATGCTTCTCTCTGTTTAACAAAACTGACTCGGATCTATTTTCATATACAAGAAAATAGTTGGATCGGAGAGCCATACTGCTGCTTTAATTGACCAATAACATCACGAAAGATTCAATGTTTATTCTGTTGCCTTTCACATTGGCTTGCTGTTCCATGGACCAGTTGCATTTGTCCTTTTTTTTTTTTAAGGAAAAGCGAAAATTCTCCCAGAATCTTTCCTAGCTGATGCCTGACCAAACCTGTTGCCCAGATATGTGTCATTTCCTCTCGTGGTTGGGGTACTGAGAACATCAGAACCTGTTTCAGAATCCACAGGGAAATAAGCATGTATGGAACAGGATCAGATTTCGTATTTGTCACCCAAGCAAACACAAAAATGTTGCACAACAATTACGATTCAAATAAATGGATCTAAATAGGATTACCTCCCTAAATGGTAATTGGGATACTTTTCTGTTTTCATAAAGATTTACTTATTATTTTAAATTTTCAAATGCAAAGTCTGAAAGAGAGAAAGATCTTTATTCCACTGGTTCACTGCCCAAATGACCACAAAGCAGGGGCTGGTCAAGACCAACAAGAGAGAGGAACTCCATCCTCACCTCCCACATGGGTAGTAGGGACCCAAGTACTTGGACGAGCCAATATCTGCTGCTTTTTAAAATATTAGCAGGGTACTGGATCAGAAGTAAAGCAATCAATATTTAGACCAGTACTCATATATAGAACAATGATGTCCCAAGTCATTAGCAGAGAGCTAAATTGGAAACAGAGCAGCCAAGACACAAATCTACACCCACATGGAATGCTAGCAACAAAAAATTTAGATAAATAGCAAAATTACACTTTCTCTCCCCACCCGGCTCTGACGTTAAGTCACATTATTTAAATAGTAACTTTATTTTCACTACTGCCCAGCATTTCAATTTATGACTAAACCACAGCTTATGAATAAAAAGGAAGCAAATCAGTGGGTGTCAAGGACTAGAAATGAGAAGAGTAACTTAGGTCACTATGAAAGAATCTGGAGATAATTACACTGTACCATAAAATATGTTTCAAGCCCCCATTTGTGATGTAACAAGTTAATCTTCTCCTGGGCAGTCCACATCTCTTATCAGAAAGCCTAGTCTAAGTCCTGGCTGCTCTTATTCTGATCCATCTTCCTGAAAACGCATCTTCGGAGGCGACAGACAATAACTACTTGCACCCTCTCTTTCTCTCTCTCTCTCTCTCTCTCTCTCTCTCTCTCACCTTCCTGCGTGTTTTTCTCACTCTCTTCTTCCCACGACCTCCTTCTTTATCTTGTTCTCATTTTCAGATAGAGGAAAGAAATGTTTTCAAAAATGTTATGTGTTTACATTTTACGGAGATAATTGGAAACAGGTTTTACTACCAAGTCTACATGGCATAACTAAATTGACGGGCTAAGCGGATTTGCAATTTTCTGTTGTCTTAGCAATTGGCTGAGAGGCAAACAATCAGACTGACTGTGTGGTAAGCCAATTTGTTCATCAAGGAGATATAAAATCCTAGTCCAACCATGCCTCCATACACATTCTGCAGTTGGCTGGCCATTTGGAATTCATGTTCAGTTTGTGACTGGAGGGAAGGATTTGGATTTTACATTGCAATTACTATCCTATATCACACAGCTTCAGTTGTTTACAG